TGGCTCAATGTGAGCTAAATTATTGGCAGTCATGGGCCTTGTTTTTCAGCTTTTAACTGCTATGGTTGCCTGGCTTCAAACTGTCTTCTGGTGGCTTGATTCTTGCCCTGTTTGCTGGATAACTCCATGACAGAAGATCTACTTGCATCCTAGGTCCTGGCTTTCTGTCCTAATTATGTCTTTTGTGTGCAGGCTCGTGAGGCAGTAGAGATGCGTGCTCAGGTGGAGAGGAAGATGGCTCAGAAAGAAAAAGAGAAACATGAGGAAAAGCTCCGAGAAATGGCTCAGAAAGCCAGGGAAAGAAGAGCAGGGATCAAAACTCATGTTGAAAAAGGTACCTTTCTTTGTTCTTAAGATGCTGTGAGGTTTTTTAGCACTCTGAAGTATGGGTTTGGGGAATAACCTGAGAATTGTAATACCTAAATATCAATTGTAATTTCTAAGCATGACATCTGTTTCAGCCAGTGGATTTGGTTAATTCACTGGCTGGTTGGATGGGATCTGGATTTGAACCTTACAGCCATATGTCAGTGTATACAGGTTTAGGACATTGTTGATTATTACTGAGTTGTGAACAGATCATTGCAAGTAATGGCTTTCATGAACTGTTCTAAACTATTGTTGCAGGTGAAAAGCAACTTTGTTTACAAGAACTAAACCATCTTTATGTTTTCAAAGATGGTAAATGCAGTATTCTGTCTGTGGTGCTGTTATAGCTGGTCTTGCAGAACTGTAGTTCTGTTGGCCATGACGTTCAAATACTGCCAACCTAACTAAATCATGACCATTGTAATAAGTCTTAATGTTTGGGTTGAAATGACACCTCAAGATACTGAACTTAAAGAGCAGTTATTATCTCTCTAAAAGGTGGAGGATATGATCATATAATGCCTAATCCTGCAGCTGGAATGGACTGACCTCTTCCCGAAAGGCTGGAGACTGGCTGGCTGGAGAGCCTCTCTGTTCAAAAGGACCTGGGAGTCCTAGTAAGCCAGCAGTGTGCCCTGGCAGCAGTAATGTTCAGGGCATACTAAGTAGCATCTGCAACAGTGTAGGTGAAGGGAAGTAATAATTTCCTTTTACTGGTGGACTGTTAGACTGCATATGGAATACTGTGTGCAGGTATGGGCCCCCAGGTAGAAGACACACATTGATAAACTAGAGTGTGTTCAGTGGAGGGCCACTAAAATCGTCAGGGGGCTGAAGAATCTGCCTTGTCAGGAGATATGAAGAGAATGAAGCTTGTTCTGCCAGGAGATGATGTGGATTTAGGGGGGACCTAATGGGAGCTTTACCATATCTACAAGGAGATAGAACCTCAGAGCTCTTCACAAAGCTGAACAGTGGAAGCATGAGATGGTGGTCAAAAATTGAAGCAGGAGGTTCCAGCTACATGCTAGGAGAAAAATTTTGACTATGAGGACAAGTAATAATGGAACAGGTTGCCCAGGGAGACTGGCAGTCTCCATCCTTGGAAGTTCCCCACTTATGTGGGGAAAGCCCTGACCAATCTGGTTTGAATTCAGCATTGATTCTGCTTTCAGTAGGAGGTTCACTGAGAGACTCCCTTCCAACCTGAGTGATTCTTTGATACTGAGTCACAGAATGTTCTTTAAGGGCACTGAGATGCGTATGTGTTTGAATTATATTTTTACACTTAAGAGATAGAGGTATTATATGATAATCTGTAGGTATTTTAGGATATTAATCCCTAGATGGACAAGCATTCTAAACTGAAAGTTAAGAAAATGTAGCTTTTGGATATGTCTACCTTAACTTTCTTGCCACAGAGAGTTAATTGCTTGTGGCATTAGAAAGCTGTGGTTTTCCATGTGTTCAGTTTTAAGTGGTACAATTTAAATAGTGCTAAGAGTCACTCCTTTCTGTTAAAGAACATTGAATTGTATCTCTGTGCCAATGTCTGTGGCATAGTTAATTGAAACTTCAAATATTTGTCTATAATGAGCAATCTTGCATTTGTTCAGAGGATGGAGAAGCTAGAGAAAGAGATGAAATCAGACATGACCGGCGCAAAGAGAGGCAGCATGACAGAAACCTTTCACGGGCAGCCCCTGACAAAAGGTGAGTCACAAAAGAAGGCTGCTTATTCCTGTACTGGAACTGGCTTCCTCACTAGGGAAACTATTTAACTGGGCTTCCTTTTACTTGGTGTGAGTGCCTCAATTTTACTACCTTAAGGAGATATTAACTGGTATGAAGCACTGTTCATTCATTTTAAGAAATGGTGTATTATGGTGCTAGTGTACCACAGTATTATTCTAAATTCAGAATTTTCCAGATGAAGGGGGGGAATTGCTTTGGGGTGGATTTTTAGCAGAACTTCAGTATATTCAGATTTAATTAACATGTTGACAGCAAGGGTTGAAACCTGGATCCTGTAACTTCAGTGAGACCAGAGTATCATTGGTGGCTTTTTTTCTTGAAGCTGTTCATTTGAATTAAGCTTAGATTTATGAGTGTAGGTTGAAGTATCTTGTTTGCCCAAGCCAGTGAGATCTCTGAGCACAAAGGGTTTCTGGAGGCTTAGAGTCTCTAATATCTTAAAATTAGATTGCTTGGCCTTCCCTGAATATAATTACACTGTTCCTTGCAAAAAATAAATATGACATTTTAGACCAAGTCAGCTTGATATAAATTGCAGATAGTGGAACGCAAATTTAAATGTCATGCCCAGCTGAATATAACTTACCCAAATGTTTCCATTGCCAGGAGACAAATTTTTAATGTTACCTGGTAAGGAAGGGCAACAGTCAAAATCTGTTTCCTGAGGCAAATTGTTAGCAACTAATACAGGATCGAGTTGCAGTTGAGCCTGGCAACAAATACCGTTTACTGACCTAATAAAACTTGAAATTTTAATTCAGGTCAAAGCTGCAGAGAAATGAGAACAGAGATATCAGTGAAGTTATTGCCCTAGGGGTACCCAACCCCAGGCCTTCCAATGAAATACAGTATGACCAGAGGCTGTTCAACCAGAGCAAGGTAAAAATACCTTTTCATAGATGTGTAGTTTTCTGTGGGAACATGTTTGTCCTTCCTCAGTGAGTATGTCTAGAATACTAAAGGGACCCTATTCTCATGGTTGGCATGGATACACTCTGAAAGAAGTCTCCACATAACTGATTAGAAAACTATTGATTTCCTTTATCCATAGCTGATGGAACAAAAATTGAATATTCTGAATGTATAACTGAAGTGGTTTTGTTGTGGTTTTTCTCATTGAAGAGTGGGGGAAAAGAAACTATTTTGCCTTCAAGCTGCAGTGGCCTCATTTTTTTTTTCTGTACAAATTTACTGAATAAGGGAAATTTGCTCTGGGAGAAGCAAGTAAATACTTTTTATTTCCGATATTACTTATGTTAAAACTCCTTCTGAAGATATAAATAGTAAAGAGCAGCATTCATTTTTCCTTGAACTTTACACTATTCAGAGATTAAAAAGCAGATTAGGCTTCAGAAGATTCCTGAATAGACCCAGTTTGTCAATCCTTTTTCATGTCTCCAGTGAAAGACTTGAATGCAGAAGAGAAAGCTGATGGATCAAGTGAACCAGCAGGCACTTCTACTTTTACAGTTTACATAAGCCTCTGAATGATTTGGATCAGTTGGCTTTTATCATGTTTTCCAGAAATTCTGAGTAACATACATTTCTGTATGGTTGTACTTGGCTATTACAGACAGCTGTACTTGAAGGGCAGACTGAAATGATCAGTCATTCTGAAATATGAATGGCCTGTAATCCTTCCTGTTGCTTTCTAGAAGAGTAGAAGTGGCCTTAACAGAGGCTTGTAATTGTGTCATGTTCTCTGGCCTTAATTCCAGACCCAGAAACACTTATAGCCTAATGAAGTGCTTGAAATAATTTTAAATCGGTAGTAAAATACATAGTATATTCTTTGCATGTCATTGTTGACACCATCAGAGTATCTTGATATTAAAATAAATCAGCTGACATTTGCAGGCTCATTTGTGTTATACTTCTTTCTTCTTCACAGGGTATGGACAGTGGCTTTGCTGGAGGAGAGGATGAAATATATAATGTTTATGACCAGCCTTGGAGAAGTGGCAAGGATATGGCCCAGAACATCTACAGGCCAAGTAAAAATATAGATAAGGACATGTATGGTGATGATTTAGAGGCTCGAATAAAGACTAATAGGTAAGAAGATAAAATTAAGAAATATGCGTTGCTACTCTAAAGTTCCAATCAACTGAGTATCACCCCTTCTCCTGCAGGTTTGTTCCTGACAAAGAGTTCTCTAACTCAGATCGTAACACCAGAGGGAGGGGCAGAGATGGACCAGTTCAATTTGAGGAGGATCCTTTTGGTTTGGACAAGTTTCTGGAAGAAGCTAAGCAACATGGTGGCTCTAAACGGCCATCAGACAGCAGCCGCCCTAAAGAACACGAGCATGAGAGCAAAAAGAGGAGGAAGGACTGAATGCTTCTGCTCCTTGAGAGATAGAGAAATGGACTACAAGCTTGGACTTCATACAAAAGGCATTTTTAATATCAGAGGTGTATACAGGGATGGTGTTGTAACATAGCAGTTCACAGCTCTTGTTGTGTGGATATATACACACACCCTAATTCCTCAACACAGAACAGCTGTCCCTGGGGAGTGGAAGAATGGAGACCACTCTGAAATATTTCACAAGGGAATTATTCTTAGCAAGTACTCTGACTTTGCTTGACTCCCTGTTGCCCAGCATCTCAGGGTAAGAATGTAGCCCCTTCCTACAGCTTTAGTTTTTTGTAGGTAATGAAAGCTTTTGCTTCATCTGTTAAAAGGTTTCCTGCTGTATATAATTACTGTCTTATGCTGTAATGGATGCTAGGGAGTTTGAGTCTGGTTCTTTAGTGTGGCTGTATAGTTTATTTGAACAGCTGGATTCTGTTTAAAAACAAATACTCATCCATAGTTTCTCAGTAGTCTTTTATTTTCTTTGCATTTAGTGAAATAAAGCCTCCTTCCACCACTCACTCACTCGGACTCCTTCTTTGACTGCGTCTTCTATGGGGCTGCTGTTTGAGATCAAGCTGAAAACAATGGAAATTATTCAAATTAGTTAGGCAAGAAGGTTTGATATTTTTTATTTCAGATCTTCTAAAACATTCAGATGAGAAGTGGAAGATGAGTATGTAACTGGTTCAGTTTCATGAGCCATAACCACATATGCTAAGGTCCCGATAGGAAAGTTGCATATAATTTCCACAGCAATTGCTAGTTTTATCAGCAAAATGCATCTTAAAAGCTTGTGCTTTCAAGTGTAACTAATAGAAGGTAACTGTCTAAACCTAGCCTAGAACAAAGTGGGACAAGTCCTTGTTGTTTTTGATTCTAGAGAAACTTGCATTTTTGAAGAAATGAAGAAAGTTAACTACTGCCTGCCTTCTGCTTTTTAGTGCACTATAAAGAAACCTCTTAGCTCTTGCACTTCTTATGAGAGCAGAGTTCTCAAGAATAAAAAGCAGCAAAGTGATTTCCAAGAAATTAACACTAAATACTCATATATGCTATTCCTAATACTTATTTTGATATTGCATATGATAATGTCCACATTATTTTCAGTCCAATTTGTGAGGGATCAGCCTTTTGACTGGCTTGTCACAGTTTCAGACTGAAGTCAGCAAACCACTCCTTGATTTCTGCTTCCATTTTGCACCACAATTGTAACTCACAGGTCAGCTCTGCTTAGGACCAGGTACCAAGTAACCATAATCAATAAAGACTTCTGCAGTAATATGAACAATGTTAAGCAAAATACTATTATCACAATCAGCAAACTAGATTCCTGAAGTCTCTTGCCAATTCATTTTACCATCTCCTTGAAAGACTCAAAATGAGAAACTAGTTGTCAGAAGGACATTGAAGAATTCTTATTAATTGTTCCAAGATGGAAACTGATCACATCTGTTGCTTGTTGCTCATGGTTTCACCCTGCTCTACTGGGTCTCAGTCTACAAGAAAATCCTTATTAATTTGCCCCTATTTAGTACTAGATGCAAGTTTCTAATGATTTTATGCGAGACCTGTTAATGGCTTTTGGGCAGCCACTGACTCGCGATCCTTTTATTATTATCTGTCACCACCACTGCATACTGTGTGTTTGGGAAGTGGCGGGATGGCTGCAGTGAAACTAGGTGATACAATTGTTCAGTTCTAATTGACCAATGACAGACACCTCTGTACAGGGACCAGACAAGGTTTTTAACTGATGGTGTACACTTGCTCTTCATACCATACACTAATGAACTGAGATTGACAAAGTGTATTTTTTTTTCTTCGCGAACATTTAAAATGTTAAAAAGCTACACTAAAGCTAAGTCAAGGTTATCTTGAACAGATGAAAGCCAGAAGATGATTTTTTCTGTACAAAATGATACCTGAAAATAAAAAAAGCTTTCACCAAGCTCAAAGCTTAGCTTTATGTTGTCATCTTCCCCCTGCCACCCAACATCCAAATTACATATTGGAATCCACCTGCAGAAACCCGGATTACAAATAACGAGTTGCGTGGCAGTTTCTGAACAGGTACAGTTCATTCACAGTTCATTCCTTTAGCTTAGCATAGCAGGAGATTTTTGATCTCAGGTACATGATTTCTGTAGTATCCGTGATCTCATACCCTTATGAATTGAGAATAAACAGGAGTCTTGGATTATTTTAAAACATTAAAAGCACACAAGGTGGCAAAACGCTTGACCACACTTGGGAAGAGTGTGGCAGTGTTTTGATGTCACCGTGTCCAACCAAAGGCAGAACTAGAGAGCTAAATCAATTACATTACTTCATTTAAGGAATTAGCACATTACCTTGGCACCTTCAAGTATGTGGGATTCCTTCTGAAACACATTCTGAACATCCTGTGGAGTTGAGAATTTAATCCAGCAATAACGTCTGTGAAAGCCTGTATCTCTGTCCTAGTTACCAAATTAAAAGAATAAATTCAATTACTGCAGAAAATATTCACATAGGCTGTTAAAAACTTTCTACAGATATTTAATTTAAGGATTCAGAAATTATCAGAGACATCAGCACACTTGCTGTTTTGGAAGCCTTTTTCACACATGAAGACACATACTCATTGACAGCATGCGGGGGCCGAGCAGAGGTTGTTCTGCATCCCCTTCTCTCCATTTGAGTGCAGCAATCTTAATTTGAGATTTTAAGATTTAAGTAAAAGTTGAAGACTGGAATAAGGCATAGCCAGTTGCTTCAAACTGCAGTATTTAACTAGTATTAAGCCAGTCACAACAAAACTGACATTTAAATGGCTACCTGATTTGAAAATAAGCCTGCCACAGTACTTGAAAAGCATTCAGCAAGATAAAGCAGCTGCTTAAGATACTAAGAAAACAGGCTTGAGATTCAAGATGACAAGCATTTACTGAACTGAAAAGTTGTTTTTAAGAATAATTTGCCAGTCAGAAGAGACAGTTGTCAATGAAGAGGAGAAAATGCAGAAAAGCCAGGCCTACTAAAGTGCCTTTTACCCCAACTCTGATTCCCAGCAGAGTTCACAATAGCTCTGCCACCAAATTCACCAATCATCAGGTGTGACTGGCAGCAGTTTCAAACACCAGTGAAGCTCCCATCAACAAGGTACTGTAGTCACACCACCTGGTTTCTGTATCTCGATGTCTTAATTTAGGGGGTTTTAATGCTGCTGGAAGAATTTTATACCTCTGGTAATTTAATGAACACTCAAAACATGCACATGTGCATCAGGTCAGCTTGATGAGTGATTGGAGGCAGGTCTATGGTAAACTGGCCTTCATAATGGAGCAGGCATTCTGACCTGGGCCTGAGGAACAGAGCATGGCAGGCACACAGACACATATGCTTCAGTGTTCAGAAATAATCAAGCAGTCTTTCTCCATTTCCAAACTAACCTCAACTGACAGTGAATCCCATCAACCCACTAACTCGAGCTCACTACACAGAGCTTAATTTAACAACTACTTCACATGGAGAAAAACAAGCAGGCAGAACCTCTACCCCTTCAGGAAAGACCCACAATGTATCCCTAATAAGAGTGGGAAAACAACACTTTTTTTTTTTTTTTTTACTGTTCATCTCTTAACGAGACAACACTAGATACTATCCCTGACCTACACGCTCAGAAGATAACCTGAACGACAGAGGCATGAACAGCTGACACCCTGGGAGGATCCTGAAGAGGCTGCAGTTTCTGTGCTAGCCACTCTGGATAAGGCACAAGCCCACAGCAGGGAATTATTTTAGGTTCATACCCACAGCTTTAGATTTTTTTAGGCCTGTGAGACACTTTATCAGAAGAAAAACAACACTATGATAACAGGGCTCAAAGCACTTTTCGGTCAGTTATTCCGAAGTGGCAGCACCACCAGGATCTGAGGAATGCGCTTTCTGAAGCTCTCGGACCACTGGAAACCGCGCCGCTCCCACGAGGCCTGCAGCCGGCAGAGAAGCGGCGGCTCGCAGAGGCAGCCAAGTGCGGAGAGCCCCGCAGAGCCCCGCAGAGCACGGGAGGCCTGCAAGCAGCAGCTCCGCGGAGGAGGGGGAGCGGGCCCCGGGACGCGGGCCCGGCGGGCACGGCACGAACAGCGGCCCGAGGACGGGCGGGTACTCACAAACGGCAGCTGGCACCTCTGCACAGACCCGAACTGGGAGAAGTACTCCTTCAGCTCCTCTGCGGGGCAAACACACACGCGGTCACACGGGCCCGCCGCCCCCACGCAGCCGCCCCCGCG